GGGCCGCCGCAGCGGAGCGCGCGCACTTAACCGCTTGCGCCACCAGGCCGGCCCCTCTGTTGTCAATTTTTATATAACATTTTTCAAATGTGACTGGGGGAAGGTCCTGTAGCCTTATGCTAATCTTAAATCCATAAAACTTCATTTTTCTCATCTGCAAGTGAAGGATCAAACTAGATGATCTCTTTAAACTTTTCCAGTGTTAACATTCAATAATTCTATAAGTCAATAGTTTAAACATTGTTGACACATCTTCAACCACTCTTAACTAACATTCCAGACGTTTCATATTGAGGGTAACTATCCCTTTAAACAGCTACAAGGCCCCAGGGGAAATCATGCTTTAGGCTGTAGACCATGAGATAAAAAGCTGCTAGAGGAAGATAAATGGGACACACACATCTCTCTCACACACACACACACACACACACACACACACACACACACTCCTCTATTCCATTAGCAGCAAACTATCTGTCCCCATACAGGGACAATTATAGAAGTCATCATAATAGTTTACATTCACGTGAAATCAGTTACACAAATTATACAGAGTACAGCTGCTCTTTAAATGATCTGTCAACTTTTCACTAAGTAGTTACAACTTCAAAAGTAGAGGAAGTGCTTTCAAATGAAAGTATGACAGCGGGCTTGAGAAAGTCCTGCTTCCGATAGTGTCCAAAGTATCTTATTCTGTAGATTCCAGGCTGGGCAGTATCTGGAATATACCATTGTATCGTTGCATCGCTTTGACCCAGTGATCCTTTGTGCCAGTAGAAACTGTTGGTAGGAAACAAACAAACCCAATTTTATTCTTAAAAATGTGTGATTAGAAAAATGTATGATTATTCGTTAAATGAATACCCAGGGAATACCTACCATAAGCAAGGCACTATTCTAGATATTGAGAGTACAGCAATGAACAAAACAGAGATAAATACTTACTTTTTAGGGGAGGACCTTTAAGGAACAGCCGTTTGTAGAAATATCTTTACTTGTTCTACCTTTCTACCTACCTAAGGAAGGTAGTTCCCGGGAAGCCTTACCCGATCTTCAGAACACAGGATGACTCCTGCTTTAGAACTGCTGTAGCATCCTTTTATTCCTTATCATCCTCTGCTTCAACTGACACTTCTTTTTGCATCAGATTCATTTGTTAAAAATATACATTTAATGAGCGTATGTGCCAGACTATTCTACAGGTAATGAGGATACAGTAGTGAGAAAGACAGACATGGTCCAAAGTTTCATGGAGATTATGTTCTACTAGGGCAAGGGTGGGAAGAAAGGTAATAAACAAGTAAAGCAACACATAATTTTAATAAGTGAAATGAAGAAAGTAAGATGGAGGTATCTCTAAGGAGATGTCATTTAAACTGAACCCACACATGTCTAGAGGAAGAACATTCTAGGAAGAAGGAAAAGAGAATGCAAAGTGTCTGAAGCAGGAACAATTTTGGTGCAGCCAAGGAACAGAATGCAAGTCAGTAGGATTAGGGCACAGTGAACTGTGGAAGAGTGGTTGAGATGATAGAAACAGATGGAGTCAGATCATCATCATGTCCACCTTGTAGACCATGACAGGGAGTTCAAATATTCTTCCAGATACAGTGAGATACAATGGGCAAACTGACTGATATCCTCAGTTATGTAGAGAGTAAATCCCCTGGGCAGAGCGAGTGTGCTCAACATTCTATGTTTCTCAGTGACGGGCCCAGTGCTCTCAAAAAATAGTTGATGATGCTGTGCTAATGAACAAGGCAGAGGCCTATACAAATCCTCAGTGTTGACTGCTATTTTGATTTGGGGCCTTTGAAAATAAATCATGCTTTTCTATTATTTGTATGACCTTATTTTAACAAAAATTATGTATTTATTACTTGTTTAAAAATCACCTATACCCTAGAGTCCTAAAGATGAGAGGAAAAATTATGTGCATATTTATGTATGGCTATCAAATAGGCTACTACATGGTCAAATCTCTAACCATGTGAACCAAACCAACATACAAATAACACTTAGTTTGAGGCAATCTGAATCAGACACAAATTGCCAAAAATGTTTTCCACTTTCATGCCACTGTCCTGTGGTGTGAAATTTATAGATTTGGGAACGTTTTGGAATTTTCTTAATTCAGACACATTTTCAAATCTTCAAAATATCTACTCAGCTCAGGTATTTGGTAACAAAAGGTACAGAGAATGTCTCTCTGAGGAAACTCCATGAGCATATTCTTTTCTTATTTGAGTCAGTAAGAGTTAAACACTGAAGCTTCTTGTGTTCTAGTAATTCAAATGAAGAATCATTGACTATATACAATCATGCAATTCATGTTGAGTATAGACTCATTATTTTTCCAAAAGGAATGTCAGGCTCCACAGAGCCATCTCAACACCTTCATCCAGCACCCCTTTCAACCAATTTGCAAGAAGGCTAGCTAGCTTTCAAGGGTAATGTCTGTGACCATGGAAAAAACAAAACTAACAGATGTTTATAAGAATGGAGGGCATAACCTCATTAGCACCTAATCTTACAGAAGCACACACCATTGTTTTGTAGAAAAATAGAACCAAAATTAAGTCTAATAAATCAACTAAATATGGTCAGAAGGCTCTTTGGGAATTTGATATCATTAATATCATGCACCGCGCCAGTCTTCCCATTTGTCTTCCCTGCATTACTAACCAACTGTTTTCAAGGCTTGAAAGACAAAATATTCAATAGACACGCTCACCGAGTCTCCCAGGAGGCATCATTATGCACTACCTGCCACGTTGCTGAAGTGGCCTCATATTTCTCCACAGTGAGGAAGGTCTGATGGGTCTGAAATACAATTAATATAACTGATCAGACACCGCACACAGAAGGAACCTGTCTGTAAATACTCCCCTTGTTGACTGTACACTAAATTGCCAATAGCTTGTATGAAAATGTGTTAGAATTTCATCCAAATTCTTAGGTGTTGCTCTTAACATTCTATGCAATGTCTCCAGAATGTTAATTTATCCAGTCTATGAAAAACCATGACTTTTTTTAGAAAATTGAATGAAGCACAATTTTAGAGCTGATAGCAAATTTTGGAAATTGGGGCAGAGAGGAGAGAAAATAAAACTTGTGATTGAAAAAAGGCACAAATCAAACCTTTTCATGACATGTTTATTGCTCTATATTCCAAGGCTTTCTCTAGTCAGCTCAAGATTTAGGAGGAAAAATGGACAAGTTTCCTCATCTTTCCATCTCCAGTAAATGAATTATTAGTAAATATACCTTCCCAAATGAAAGAATTGAAAAGGATGCATAAATCTGCCTTGTCCTGGGGTGTTAAAAGCAATCCCTATATTTTGTCATAAGGGATTCCTAGAAACTGCAGCATAAGCAGATTTTATTATCCCATTGGAAAACTGCTATAATAATTTGTTTCAGACCAAGAATTCAAATAAAGCACAGATTTGAATAACATAACAAATTAAAAGATACAAAGGCCATAAATCTCTAATTTTCTCAAAATCTCAAAATCGAGATTTCCTCAAAAATCTTTAGATTGTGGCCCTTAAGGGCAGGACTTGAGTCTAATTCATTTTTATCCATCACAACCCTTTATACCTGTCCTTTACAAGTATTCAAATAAACCTTTGCTGAATGGATCACTTATTTACAGCTGGCCTTGGGATTATTTAAAATTTCTCTCTAAACACTCAACTGATGGATTATATTCAAGAAAGAAGTTTTCATAACCACAGTGACTTGTGAAGAGAGTTGTTTCTTCCCATTCTAGCTGGGGAGGCCTGGATGGAGTAGCAGACAGGGTGGGCCCAAGCATATGGGTCTAGAGTACAGATTAGAGAAAAGTCTAGGCCACTGAATATGTGAACTATGTGACTATCCTTTCCCCACCTCCCAACCTTAATCTCTTCCAGATACACAATTAGTTAATACAAGTTACTTAATCTTTCTAGGCGTCATTATTCATCTGTAAAATAGGGATAATAAAATGTAACTCATTGGGTAGTAGTGAGGATTAAATTAGATTCATGTGATAATGTATGTAAAGCACTTAGCGTAGTACCTACAAATAGTAAGCATTCAATAAATAGTGGTGAGGATGTGATGATTACTAATAATAGAGGGTACTGGAAATTGTTTTATGCTGAGTCCCAGAGCATTCTTAGAGATTAATATATTCTCGTTATAGTGCTTCAAGCATTTTGCTCTCCTGCTTCTCCATGGCAATAATCATGATAGTATTTCTCTACCCCAAGGATATCAAATGACAGCTAATCTTGCAGTTTTGCTACAACAGTTTGATATCTTCAGAAAATAATATTATAAACATGTAAATATTTTGACATAGCTTGACTGCCTAGAGAAAGTATTTCAAACAGGTGCATGTTGACTATCCAAGCAGTAGAACATTTTTCCCCAAGGACATATTTGACAATGTCATAATGCCGCAATTGTTATCACAGCAGTAATGATATTTTAATGAACAGAAATGGGAAGACTCATTTGGAAGCAAGGTATTTTGGGTTATAAGTGACAATAGGCCCTGGGAAGAATGGCTATAAGAATGATAGAATGAATGCATCCTCAGCCACAGTAAAATATCTGACCTTGAAATCACTTTCATATACCTACTCTTTTTTTCTGTTATATATTTCTTTAATTGTTTAACTTTTTGCAACTAGAATATGTCCAATTATTTCTTGTATAATTATAAGAATATTCTAAGGGTGTTACAGAAGAGTAAAATTACTTCATTTTATTAATAGATAAGTTACCAATGTATATACATACCTAAATATGATAAAAACAAAAAAGTCTGAAATGATATTAACAAACTATTAAGAGTGATTACCTCTAAAAAGGTTTATGGAAAGAGGTGTACTTTCACATTCCATGTTAAGCACTTCTATAGTGTCTGTTCTTACATTGGACATGTATTTCCTGCATCATTTTTCAACATTAATAAATAAATATCCCATTAGTGCCAGTCACAAACAGTAGGGAAATGGCCATCGCAAGATAAAGCAAAGCACATGGGCCAGGGCTCCAAGCCACTGGAGCATCTACCCAGGGATCCATAATCATTCCACAACAGTAGAGGTAGGACCAGAGGCAGCAGTGCTGGAGGAGGAGGAAAGGAGCCAAAGAGGGGGTAGGAAGGAACCAAAGATACACTTCACTCTTGGCCTTTTGATTATGTTACCAAATTTAGTAGAGTTTTTAAATTGGAATACATAAATGGGATTGTATTCAAATTTACATCTTCTCAAAAGACAATGCAGTTCTCTACGCATTGTGCTATATGTGGTCCTAAGTAGACCCAGTTAAACGTGTGTGTTTTTTTTCCAAACTCAATTGCACATTTAGCTGTACCCACCAGACAGTTCCATGCCTACAAAATGAGGTGAAAACAAGTTGGAACATTTTGTTTTTATGTTGTTAATAACTAGAGGGATGTTCAAGTAAATGAAAAGCTAAAAAGTAGATGTTAATTTGTAAAAAAAGAAAAAAATTACTGATGCTTACCCGATTTTCTGCTGAATTCTTTGGGTTAGCACCTACAAATGTAACTTCAGCAACTTCTCCCTGAAAATGAAAACACATTTTAAGTGTTCTAACAAAAGTAATTTTTGCCATGCTCATATTTGCGCCATTATTTATTAAATATTCTACAATTCTGTGTACTTGCATAGATTCTATTCTATTTAACCAAATGAGCTATCTTCTGAGAATATTAGAGAAAATATCCTTGCAACAACGGACACAGAAATTTTTAGCCAGGCCCGGCCCGGTGGCATAGAGGTTAAGTTCGCGCATTCCGCTTTGGCAGCCCGGGGTATGTCGGTGCGGTTCCTGGGTGCGGACCTACTCACCGCTCATCAAGCTATGCTGAGGTGGTGTCCCATATAGAAGAGCTACAACTCTATGACTACGATACACAACTATGTACTGGGGCTTTGGGGAGAAAAAAGGAAAAAGAGTAAGATTGGCAACAGATGTTAGCACAGGGCCAATCTTCCTCAAAAAAAAAATAGTAGGGGCCGGGCCGGTGGCGCAAGCGGTTAAGTGCGCGTGCTCCGCTGCGGCGGCCCGGGGTTCGCTGGTTCGGATCCCGGGCGCACACCGACGGACTGCTTGGCAAACCATGCTGTGGCGGCGTCCCATATAAAGTGGAGGAAGATGGGCACAGATGTTAGCCCAGGGCCGTCTTCCTCAGCAAAAAAAGAGGAGGATTGGCGGATGTTAGCACAGGGCTGATCGCCTCACAAAAAAAAAAAAAAAAAATAGTAAAAAAAAAACGTCCACAGAATAAACAAAACAAGGTACTTAATAAAGGCCTAAAAAAAAAGGGAAAAAAAGAAATTTTTAGCCAATAAATTAGTGCACAATTTTTAGCCAATAATATTTCTTTTGGTAGATTCAGATATAGATGAAGATTTAGGGCTATAGTTCATATTAGTGACCGCACATTAAAATGGCTTCTTCAGCCCTTGATATTTTCTTACACCTTCCTCCCAAACATACATAGGAGATGGACTGAATCAAATAAGAGCAGACAAAACTTTCCACGGATGACTTATACTTGACTTACCCTTATATTTACATGTATAAGATACAAGATGGAGTGACAGGGTGTGTATTTACCTTCCCATATGAAACAGCTAAAAAAACTGGGCAAATATGTATTAAATAATGGTTTTAAAGACAGTGGGCACCAGGCAATGAAAACAGTGATCCTTGAGTGACAGAAAACAAACAAGATGACCCCTACAATGGCCTGAGCGGAATGCCTTCAAAGAGTTTACAGGCCACAGCACAAGGTGGCAGAATTCAAGCAAAGCCAGGCAATCTACCTAAGTAAAGGAATAGATGTGGGAGTCCATGAAGGCCCTACAGTCTTGAGTTCACAGGGTAGAGTAACAGAGAGAAGAGAGTATCATAGAGACGAAAGCTAAACAGAGAGAGTACTCTGGAGATTTTCAGCAGGCTCCCCTTAATTCTGCATGCACATAAGGGAATTACCTGAAGCCAGGAAAAGAATCACTGAAAAGAATTAGAATAATCCCAGGCTCATATAGAATTATGAAAAGAGCCTGTTCCCACCAGTCAGACTAGGAAACCTCATAATTCAAAAGAGTTTTACCTCAGTGTACACGAGAGAGATTTTCCCTAGAATAAAAGTTGCTCTGGCCCTGCCTAAAAAGCTTAGTAAGACTCAAAAGGATCAAACTCTTTCCCAGTAACTTACTCATACCCTAAAACAAAGCTCAAAAATGTTTATAGGAACAAAAAAATATCCAGCACCTACATGATAAAATTCACAATGTCTGGCATATAATCAAAAATTATCAAGTATACGAAACACAGAAAAGTACTATGTATAATGAGAAAATTCTTAATCAAAACTGACCCATAAATGAAATAAATGATAAAATTAATAGACAAGGACACCAGAATAGTTTTTATAACTGTATTCTGTATGTTCAAAAAGCTAGTAGAAAGAATGAACATGTTAAGTTGGCATGTAAAAAATATAAAAAATACCTAATCCAAACCTCTAGAGATGAAAACTACAGTATCCAAAAACAAAATACCCTAGACAGAATTATCAAAGTAGACATTGCAGAAGAAAAGATAACTGAATTTGAAGACACAGCAATAGAAACTACACAAAAGTAAAAACAGATGAGAAAAGATGGAAGAAAATGAATATATCAGCAGTGGGCTGTGGAACAACTTCAAGCTGCCTAATATATGAGTAACTGGAGTTTCCAAAGGCCAGAAGAAAGAAAGGAATGTAGAAAAAATATTTGAAGAAGCAACGGCCAAAATTTTCCAAATTTGCTGAAAACTTAAAGCTCACAAGTCCAAGAAGCTCAATGAACACCAAGCACAAGGAACATAAAGAAAATAATATCAAGGATTACTAAAATCAAATTGCTTAAAACTAGAAATAAAAAGAAAAAAATTCTAAAAGCAACAAGAGAAAAAAAGACACATTACACAGAGAAGAACATACATAAGGATGACAGCAGATTTTTCACTGAAAACAACGCAAACTGAAAGACAGTAGAGCAACATCTGTAAGGCAGTAAAAGAAAAAACTGCTAACCAAGAATTCTATAAACAGTGAAAATACCCTTCAAAAATGAAAGCAAAATACAGACATTTTCAAACATATAAAATAAAAATGTTAAATGAAGTCCTTCCACCTAACAGAAAATGACACTAGATGGAAATTCTGATCTACACAAAGAAATGAAGAGCCCTAGAAATTGTTAATATAACATAATTTATGTTATAAATTATGTATTTAAGTAAATAAAATATGTATATATTTAAGTATGTATATATTTAAGTAAATATAATTTTTTCTCCTATTATTTAAATCTCTTTAATAGACAATATACTGTTTAAGGTAAAAGAATAAGCCAGGGTAACCTATATGGCAATAACCTATATGGAAATAAAATGTATGACAATAGCACAAGAATGAAAGAGAGAGAAATGGAAGAACATTGCTAGCCAGGCTGATCAAGACAAAAAGGCAGAAGGCACAAATTATCAGTATCAGGAATGAGATAGGTGACATAAATACAGACTCTACAGATATTCCAAAGACAATAAGAAAAAATTATTTAAAATTATTATTTATGCTCATAAATTGAGTAATTTACACAAAATGAAATAGAAGAATTTCTTGAAATATAGGAACTACCAAAGATCACTCAAAAAGAAATAGCCTTAATAGTGAAAATTTACCAAATTATACACTTTAAATATGTATAGTTCATTGTGTGTCAATTATTCATCAATGAAGGTTTTTAAAATACAAAACTAACAAACAAGTCTTACCTTCACTTATCATGGTACAGAAGACCTTCTACAAGAAGGTTTCCACCTGCTGCTCCACCTTAAGCCCTCTACAGTCTATACACCCCAGAGGCGATGTGTCTTGATGGGCACAGTGAACTCCTACTCATCCTCCAAGACCTAGCTCATATTAAAACCATTTTTTAATAAAAACTTTCCATGGATTCAGAATCAATGATGACCATCCAAACAGGGATATTCTACTCAATTGTTTATTTTACTCTTAACTCCCCCGAATGACTGTCATCAATTTACTTTATCTACTTTTCTTCATTTTCACCATTGAGATTACCAAATTAGCCAATCTCACCAACAGTTAACAAAATGTTCCAACAACTATCAATTAGAATCTCCTGCAAAAATCACTATATCCCTTATAGAGCAATCAGCCCACAGCCAATATAATGGTTGATTTAAAAAATAAACTTTATATCTCATGTCTAGGTAGCCAAATTGTCCTAATCCTTCAGAGCATTCTTTTCCTTGATTTTTTTCTGCATTCACAATTCCGTGTTTACTCACACTCATATTAACAATGAGGAATAACCCCACTACAGATACAACATGCCAATTCAAGTGGGAGTGGTATAGAACAGGAACTTGTGACATGACAGAGTAAGGAAGTCAATATGTCCCCTCCCCCAAAACAAACTATATATCTAGACAAAACTGTCAAAAATAACCATTTTGTCACTTTGGATATCAACCAAAAACTGAGATATATTTATGCACTAAAACTACTAAACTTAGGGTAAGAACAGCTCAAATCTTTGATATTCTTGCCTAGGATTGCTCCCATCTTCTGTGGTACTGTAATTCAACCAGAATGAAGAAGGCTGTGAAATCAACAGCTTTGCTGCTACTGCCAGAAGGAACTCATTTTATTTGGAACATAGCCATTTAAAGTGGTGATCTCAGTGGACGGCAAACACTGAGGGCTAGTGGCACGGTTGGTCGACTAGTTAGGGATTTAATTGTGTTTTTGGAGGTAAGATAACCACAGTGGTCTTAATGAGCTCTCCTCCTATCCTAGATTAACCAGAGGCTATGAGCATACACAGCAGAGATCATACTGAGCCCAAGACACCCACACATCCCTGGCCAATGGAATCTGTAGGTAGGTGCAGAGGAACATAAGAGAGCCCCGTGGAAATTAAAAGCTAGAGAAAACTGGAACATGGTCTGAAGTTTGAATGCACACCCTAACCCACACAGATCTATAAGCAGAGATTGAAATTCTTATTCCTTGAGGCATTGGAGCACAAACTCTGAGTAATATTTGATGGAACATTAAGTTATATAATCACAAGGGCAACACCTTAAGAGCCAGACTTAAAACTAAAATCAAGAATAAAAAACTGAGCAAACATATCAACAGCCAAACATTGCAAGAGAGACAGACTTTACTGATTTAGTTCAGTCAAGTTTTAAATGAGCAAACAAACAAACAAAAACAACAACTCTGGGATGGGGAGGTAAAGCTAGAATCCAGAGTTGCTACAATATAACAAAAAATTCAGTATTCAACAAAAAAATTATCAGATGTGCATACAAGAAAGTACCACTCATGCTAAGGGAAAAAAGCAGCAACCAAACTGCCTTTCTGTGCCCCTAGATGTTGGAGTTAACAGAAAAAGACTTCAAAGCAGTTATTATAAAAATGTTCTAAGAACTAATATAAAATCATGTATAAAAAATTAAAGGAAAGTATG